TTTGAACTACTTCTCCACTCTGTGACAATGGAATTTTATTTTCCGGCTCTCAGCGGTCGAATGTATGGATTTTTATATGGAAATATTTCATATCGATGCAACAGTACTATTTGTGAGTGAATCAAAGCAATCAATAAGAAGGTAATTTCAGGAAATTGGACTGTTCTTGATTTTGAATGGGATCCTAGCCACAGTTCAATGCTTTGTTTATCGACATCGACTGGTGTTACCGAAAGATCATTGGTTGAGGTATTCATCCAAAAATTTCTTTGTTCTTTTCTTTAAATGAACTTTTCTTTCAGATTTTCATTGCTACAATTGGGTCCCTCATTTTAGCTTTTCATTATTTTTTTTTCTATTTATTGGGTTTTATCTGTATTCTTCGATTACCCTTGAACACCCACCAAATGCACAAGGATTGGAGAAATTGTTGGAAGTAAATACTCAAAAAGAACTGATCCACAAAGATTTAAACAAGTATTAGTATTTATAACATTAAGAGTATCTGGCAAACGTGCCAAAAACCCGCAAGTACTGTATCTATCGTTTAATTCTAGGATTACCCAGAATATTCATTCCCTCGGAACTGACGTCAATGCCTGGATTGCTTTATTTATCAACCAATCTTCCCCCAATTCTCAATTTCTCTTCAGTACTTGCAATTGAAATTCTTGTCCCTGTTATTGCAACAGAATGGCTATTATTTGTGAGTTCTTTATTTCCACACATCAATCAAATCCTTTAGTCAATTTCCTTCATGATTCATTCAATTTATCTGCTTGATAGTCCATTGATTCATATGAGTGCAAAGACAAAACAACTACATAAGAAGCTCGTCTATTCTTTGTGTGTGCAAGTGCGTTTAACAAAAGAACAAAAACTCGATTGTTTCAGATGTTGATCCCATTTTTCTCTGTAGTTGGCCCATTGGTTTTCTTTGTATTTTTAGCAGTAACAGGCAAAATTTTCGACCAAATGCACGGTTCCAATACGATTCCTATTAAGTTCAATGCGGTCCAATACGGTTCCAATACGGTTCTATTAGGTTCTAATATGGTTCCAATACGGTTCCATAACGGTTCCAATACGGTAACACTTCCATTCTGGTTGAATGGAAGTGTTACTCTTGGAAGCAGTCACGCCGCTCTGTCATCGATTTTGATTTGTGCTTTCCACTGAACCATATCGAGTCTATATTTTTTAAATGGATTTAAAAGAATTTTAAAGTAAAATCCCAAAACGAGAAATTTTCAAATTAAAAGCTTTTAGGAAAGCATCAGTTGGGCATCTGCAAATCGGTTCTCATTCAAATTCAAGAGCTTTAGATCGACTTCGAGCTCATATTAAACCTCGTTTGAGTAGAAGAATTTAATTTTTCCCAAACTTATGCAAATATTCAAATATTTATCACCAATTTTACCTGTAATAATCAAAATATTTGTTCGTATCTCCCGCATAATCGATACTCGGAATGATCAATGACGAGGCGACGCTCACCGATTTGCTGAATGAAATGAATGAAAATCCTTTTAGATAAGCCTTGGTTATCAATTGCTTTAAAGTACATTTCCAAAATGAAATCTCTTACTTTGTCCTCAATAAATGCCTCCACCATTGATCGTATTTCTCCCGCCATTCTTTCACAATCCCATAACACTCCAAGAAATGTGGTGAATGATCTAGAGATTCATTGATTGAAAGTCTCAGAATATCTTCATAGTTTTCAGATTTTCGGCAAAAGCTTTTAACACTTACAAAGTTAACATCAAATCCACTCCAATCATCATCACTTGACCGATTATCGAATCGGATTCAAATGCTGTGAAAGCAATGCCGCCAGTGATTGAACCAAATGTCTCACTTATGATGGTGATGATGAGAAAACGACGGAGAATCTGAATGGGGAGATCTGCTTCTGATATGGAATTTTTTCGAAGTTTAAGTTGGAAAGTTTTCTTGCCTACTCACCACAAACACTCGCATATTCTCTTTGATTTGATATCGAACGGATAAATCATAAGGTCGATGACCGAAACGGGGAGTTAAACTCTCGACTCGTTCATGTTGTTGGACTCGATCCAACCATTTTAACACTTTTGAATTATAGGTGAATAAGAAGGCACAAAGCTGAAAAAGAAAGGATTCAGATCTGAAAATTGTCAGACATTTGAATTGGCTGTACTTTAAACGAAAGTACGAAAAGAAACGAGACTTTCTGGGCAAAACACAATTATACTGTGTTTTCCTATGTTATTGACCAACTCTAAAATGGACTTTAGATCTCGTGGACCGTGAGTTCCTTTCCCAATTTCCTCATTTCCATTCCCTTCCTTTCAAAATGTACTCAGAAACTTCTTTTTTCCCCATATTTCCCCTATTTCACTCACCATTCCCGACAATAAAATGGCGCCCAATAATGAGATCACGACACCGATCACTGTTCTCAACATATCGTAGGCAATTGCTAAATAAAGCATTACAGATCACTCTTTGTGATGACGTAATTCAAGAACTGGGGTATGTCCTCAGTGTTTCCAATTTGATTAGAGTCAATGATGCAAGTATTTCAAGCTTTGTTAGAGTTTGTGGTTACGATTACGATTAGTTTACGATTACATTAGATTACAGTTAGATTATGTTTTGTGCTTTTTGTTTCTTACTTTTCTTGAATTTTAACAAACCAATGCAACTGAAGGTGGAGAGTGTGAGAAAGATGAGAACTGAGCTAGCATTATTGAAAGAGAGATATAGGTGCGAGGCGACTTTTTCATAGTCCCAGAGGTAGATCGTGGCCATGAGTCTGGAAATTGGTTCAAGGGTCTAAAGAGATCTCTTTGGCAAGGTTTCGTTGACATGTTTCGCTCAAAACTGTGAACCACCGCGAGATAGCTTGCTCGCAAAAAGTAACCGGATGACTTGGTGGATAGTATCGCGCTACTACTCCCTGGTTCGAATCCTCTATGAACTTTTTATTTTTAGGACACTAAATCAAATCTTTAGGTCCTCTAAGGGTCTATAAACATATCGAAAACCAAAAGCTAAAGCAAACTATTTGACCAACCTTTCCAGAGTGATCAAAGGCACAATTGAGGCGAGAAAGAGCAATGTATAACAACGAATTAAACCAATAATAAATATCACTGTATCACAAAAAGGTTACAGCTAAAAGAAATGATTAACGATTTAAAGTAAGAACAAACCATCCCCCGAGAACAGCTTGACCTTCATAAAATAAAAGAACGAGTCGGAGAAGTTGATTGAAAAATAAATGAAGTGAGACAAATTCGAAGATTCGACGCAAATTGATGTGAAATCGACCGGATGTGTGAAGGGATTTTGAAGAATGGAACATAGATTATGAAAGAGATAAAAATCGAGAGAGCTTCAATGATACGAACAACTTCCCCAGATACGACAAAGGACAGTGTATTCCTGAAATCATTTCATTACCAAGCCTATCTACACTTCTTTATAAAACTTTAGTTGCCAAGAAGCTCTTTCTCACTCACCGAAACCATCTCCATATCAACGAAAATTGGCACATAAGCCTGATATGTTGAATTAAACAAATAGAGAAAAATAATCATTTTCAGATATAAAGCTATTGAATATCCATTAGTTGATGAAATGAATGATTTCTTGATTCGAAAGTTTCCTCTTTTCCCCTCGTTTTTCTCCAAACACGTGCTAAATGGGATAACGAATTTTACGAAGGAAATCGATGCGATGAATTGGATTTCATTTTATTTCATTTCGGACCATTTCATACCCAATCTTTTCTTTTCTTTCTTACTGATCCATTAAACTTTAATCACCTAGTTTTACGGAATAAATGATCAAAAACAAATGGTCACTGAAGAAATGTTTCATTGGATACGAGAGTATGACACTCACTCAAAAATCAGTTTAGCTTTTTTCAATCAAAAAAAGCACAATGAATATTGTGTGATGTTGAACAAGGTGTTTTTTAAAAGGTGACTCCAGAAAAGCTACAGTACTCTTTAAAAAAGCGGACGATCTCTGATAAGCTTTGTCTAGGACTTCGGTAGCTTTTCCACTTTTTAAAATGCTTTTAATGGAGAGGATACAAAGCACACAACCGATTAAATTCCAGTATACAGTCAAATATAAAACCTACCGTAAATACTGTAATTGGACCCCATGGGGTACTATTTTTCCCTCCACCTCTAGGGTAGGGCACTATTAGACGGGTGGGGTCCAATTACAGTATTTACGGTACGCCGAGTACTCACTTTAAACAAAGTTCTAGAGGCTATAAACCATGAAGAAAATTGGCAGCTAAGTTGTCATGAATGGTAACTTTATGGTTACTTCGAAATATAGCACTTACCGGTCTCACAATCATACGAAAAATGTCCCAGTTTAGTCTGATTTCGAAAAAGAAAAAGTATGACGTTCCCATGAGTCTCGAAAATTTCCGTGTGACACAAATTATTCTTTGTGCCTTTCTCTTCAACCACAACTTTAAATGTTCAAAGTTCTTTCCAATTGAATGTTGCATAAAATGTACAACTTTTATTGCCTATAAACAATCAATTTTTTCGTAGAGTTCTCAACTTTTGTAGAATCAAAAGCTGGATGTTGTTTTGATGGATGATTTGTTTTTCTTCCATCAGTCTCATTCAATGCAAAACTCAAGGGGAATTCCCGATGTGAAAATCGTTTCTTTATTTCCATTCTCATTCTCTTCTGTGTAGACGACACCGAGGATTTTGAAGCCTAGGGATAATTTTATTTTTAAGAACTGCAATCTACAAGTAAATTTGGTGCCTCTTGCCTCTCAAAATCCAGGGTAATCGAACTGTTCCATAAACTCTCCGAGCGTTCCAATAAAGCTCATCAACACCTGAAGCGAAGATTTGATCTTTTAGGTTGGACTTTTCGGCATTTGTATTTAGACAAACCAATTGGCAATCCAAGTATGACAGATTCCTCCCTCTTTTCAATAAACATCTCATCTTGGTGATTTCCGGAGATCACCCCATGGGATCGATTGGATCACCGAATCTGGAATTGAGATTGGATTAAGATTGGATTGTTAGATCTTCTTCGAATTAAGTCAAACATTAAGTTAATACTTTAAATGAAACTAACCTTCCAAGACCAGCGTGTTGAATCGAAGAAAATGAGGCGATAAAGTCGAAAGTCTCCGAATAACTGAAAGTTTTTAGTTAGGCCAATCCATTCCTATCCATTTCAATCCATTCCAATCCATTCCAACCCATTCCTATCCATTCCAAACAAACCCTATCAATTCCTATCCATTTCAATCCATTCCCAAAAACCCACTTTGCCCATTGATTCGCCAAATCGCGTGGATGAATGTAGGAAAGATTCTGAGAAGTCTGAAAATTTTGATAGCTAATTATAATCTTGAACCTTAAACTTTGAAAAAGCCTTGAAAGCCTATCCGGCGTAATCTTGTGGATCATTCTCTCACCTTTTCCTCAATCTCCTGTTGCTCCACCGTCAAAACAGAAGTGGCGCCGTCCAAAGCAAAAACTTCGATCTAGAAGTAAAATTTGCATTTAAAGGAGTTAGCGTATAAAGTTCAATAACACGTTTATGTATAAGAACTGCAATTTAAACTCACCCATGGATTCGTGGCTCCAAAAACGGCGCCACTCTTATTCTGAATGAATGAATGGAATCGATCCATCGCCTCGTAGACAATATCTCAAATTTTTTAGCTTTTTTAGCTGTTTTATTATATATTCTCTATAAATGAATCTATTTTACCTATTATATTTTTATCTATTCCAAGTCTCACCCCATATCCAACATGATGCGCTCTTTCAATCACTTCATCTCTTGTCATCATCATTTGTGCATCGATATCATCCCAGAGCATCTTTATCGGCACCGCTTTCTCGTTTACATATCTAGAAATATTCAGTCAAGAAAAACCTTCATAAAGCTTACTCTTGCTTGAGCGGGATTCTTCCATAAAGTGTAAACTCAGCTAATTTCTCCCCTTGGCGGCTCTACAAGTGGGGATCTCTGGAGTCTGTGATTGAGCAATTGTCGTCCAATTGTTTCAGACCTAGTAAAACTAGTTGCCTTTTAAAACTAGTTGTCTTCTAAAACTATGCAAAGTTTCCACTCACTTGTTCACATGTCGATCCAACGAGCGTCTCGGTGAACTTCTCATCGAAATTTGACTCAGGAACATAATATAGATGAGATATTTCTCTCCTCTCCTAGTTTTCATACTTTAAACAAATTTTAAAACCTACAAAGTCCTCCGTTTCTATATAATCGTTTGAAATTCTCTCTTGTGGAATCACTTCCTCGGGCATTGGATAATCGTGTGGAAGAGGGATCCCTCAATGCTAATAGAAAATCAAATTTTGCTTTGAACTTTAAGCTCTTACATCTTACGAATTAGATGATTGATCTCCGGATTCTCATATTCATCAGTTGAGAATTTCTCTGGCAACATCTCTTCATCTGTCATCATGTAATCAGCTGGAAGTGGGAGATCTTCAAGACTATCCGGTGGAGGGGATCTTCCATTTGGACTAAACTTTTGGACTAAACCATTTGTGACCATTTGGACTAAACAGATAATTAAACGAACTTCAATCCTTTAAGACTTTTTGGTGGTTTTGTATAGAAGGGACGGGCGATCAAGAACACGGAAAGAATCAAACTGAAAGAGTTCTTAAATGGAAAACTCTGCCTACAAGTGTTAATTTTGATTTCACCTTTCAAATTGAAAATCTTGTACCCACCTGACTGCAGCCACAAGAATGACTCCGTCTCGTCGGAATCGGTATCATTTGAAGCCTTTCTTTATTGTCGCTTTCCGTATGTACCACGAGAAGTTCTTTCTCCGTTCGATTTCCCTCTTCTCTTTCCATAAAGAGAGTGGTGGAGAAGGTAAAAGAAAAGGATTGAGTCTAGAATTTTCACTTTTTCGGTTAATCGATCCTCCGAATGTCCGAAAGTGTTGTACACTGAAACATTGGATTTCGTGTGGTTTAGATCGAAATTTTCGATCTTCCACATGGAAAAACGTCAATGAAATAAGAAAGAAACTTGAAACTGACCTGGGAGATCCGGAAAAGAGATTAAACAATGAAAAATGAATGGAAACAAGGGATTTGGATTTGCCGTTACTCAAGTATTTTCTTATGTATTGTGCAAGAAGTTTCTGTTACACTTTCTTGAAAACAAATCAGGCTCTGAATGAGCATAAAGTTCGAGATTTTCCTATAGATTGTATCTTAAAGCAATAGAATGACACTCAATGAAATAAAAAAAGCAATAATGACACTCAAATGACATAAAAAAAAAGTTGAACTTCATTCAATAAACTAAATATTTGAGCAATAAGCAGAAGAATAGGGGAAAGAATGAGAATAAGAGATACTAGGATGACTAAAGTGTTCATTCCTTGGCTAAACTAATAAAAATCTATTTGAACAGTTAGATATTTTTAGTTTTTAGCTTTCAGTAGAAGTTTTACATACTCCTTTGGCTCAAACTATCAGCTTTTCTTTCATAAGAGCCCCTCTCAACTCCCTTCGGCCAGTTACAATGTGGTCGAGCGGATAACACATCGGTTTCTCGGTCGCACGACCCGGGTTCGATCCCCGATAGAGCATTTGAGTTGGTCTTTCCGTTCTCCCAAGAACCTTGGCCAAATTAATGTCTCCGAGAGTGAATGTGGTGGTTTCCACGATGGGTATCCTGTATGGTACGCGCATCACTAAGAACACCAGACATTTTCTTTTGCAAAGGTGAACTGAATGAACTAAAGTTATGGCGAATTTGAAGAAATAGACTTTACTTTGAACTTTCTGGGCACATCTCTTGAACTCTCTTGAATCCTCAACTAGTTAGCTAAATGTTTTTGACTCATCTCTGTTTTCCCAACATTTTCCAAAAAGCTGTGCTTCTAGAAAATACAGCCAACTTTACTTACTTAAATCTAGCAATCAGAGCCAGGAAATGCTTCTTTTTTAAGAATTTCTTCTTTGCTCTATTACCTGCCTTCCATTGAGCCATTTTGATTCATTTTCTTCAAATCACAATCAACAACACTCCCATCCTCTTGACAGTCTCTCTTTCTCTTTTCCTCTTCAAATTTCCTTTTCTTCTCTCATCTTTTTGACAATCAGATTAGATGTGCTCACTCTTTTTCGAAGAATCAACAAAAGGACACTTTTTCATGCATCAATCACTTTTATATAACTTTTGTTTTTGACTTTTAACTGTTAAACTTTTTAGAATCTTATGTATGAAACGATTCTCGATCCAGAGAAATTAGCTGCAGATGTTGTGGATACGGGTGAGTGGATAAACTTCTAAATAAGCCAATGAGATAATGAATCATTTGAAGTGTAATTGAATGTTTAGTCCGAGCCGGCACACAAGCCCCATTATCAGACTGTGTGAAGACAGCGAGAATCGTTTTTGAGACTCTTCTTCAACATACAAAGTATTAACAATGAAATTATTTCATCTAAAATCCAATTTCAGTGATGATGTTCTTCGAAAAGTCTCCGGAATTCTAGTCAACTTTCAACCGAATTTGTTGGAATGCTTTGATGCGAGATTATTGGGAACTTTGAGGGACCGGTTAGATGATTGGTTATCGGGAAAGGCCGAGGGTTTGTTTGGGAAAAGGGTTTTGATTTTAGATTGATTGAAAAGTGATTTAGCTGAGCTATTCGATCTCACAACAAGATGATGCATACATTGATGATCTCAATACTTTCTCGAACGTTGCGGAGAAAACGGATCCCCGAATCCCACAAGCGGTGATTGCCGTGAATGATTATGAATTTCTGTATAAACTCAACAATCTTTACATTATGGTGAGTTTTAAAAAAAGTACTGATATTGATTGACATAATTGTGCGAAAATCAGCTGCAAAACGCGAGACTTGCGACATCTCGCTTAAAGGCTTCTCTCGCCAGTCGAGCCGGCGTGTGGGGGTAGCGCAGTGGGTAAGAGGCTCGGATACAAGTTGGGCCTCCCTTTGTCCTTGAGTTCCGGGTCTTCCCTGGCAAATCTTTCTTTTTTTTTTTACCTTTAACGAAACTAATTAACTTTGTGGATATAGCAATCCTAATATACTAACTGAAGTAGTGATTATTTTCCAGGATCAAAGTCAAGAAGTGAGATTGGCGTCAATTCGTTTATTATCTACTTTGGCCTCATTTCTCCCAACTGTCATTTGTTGTTTGATTGAGACAAAGCTTCCAATGGTTTTAGGTACATTTTTACTGTTTCCAAAGTAAACCATTGAATGTTTAGCTCCTGCCATCACAAGCTCTAGATACTCGAAAGAAGAGAAATCACTGTGCATCAAATTGTTGGATATGATGGCGATGAGTGGACAAGAGTTCCCATTGCATCACTTGAGTAAGGGATGTTCAATAAAAAAAAGACTTTTCAACTCAAATTTTTGTGGTGATCCTGTAGATTAAGTAGAGCTAATCGAATCTCTCAATCCAGGCTGTTTCAATGATGTTTTCTTCTCGAAACTCTCAAATCTCCACGATGACAAATCAGCAATCCAACTCTTCGCCAAACATTTATGAAACACTCCACAAGAAGTTAAGGTTAGTAAACAAGTTCTTGTCTAGAGTTTAAAGTATCCAAATTTGTTTTTAAAAGAAACCCTTTCAGGACTTTGCCTTAACCACTCTCCGATCAAATAAAAATGCGAATTTTGGGCAACATCTCATCGATTTGCAAATCTAAAAGGCGGCCTTCCATCAATAACATTGTTGAAAGAATTATTGTCATCAAGTCCAGAAGAAGTTCGAAATTTTTCAGTATAAAGCATCTTATTAGTCTAGGTAGATGATCTCTTTTATCGAAATGATCTAACCCGTTGCATCAACAGTCGTCAGTCGAGAGTTGTTGAATAGTGAAAAGAGAGAGGTTTCTTTTAGCTTGATAATCAGTGCAATTTAGATTTCAAATTAAAATCATATTCAGGTCCGTGTAAAGTGTTTGGAATGCATTGGAGCGTTGGCCCGATCTCGGTCTCAATGATTATTCAATGAGAGACGCCGTCGAGAATTGTGATGTAGTGGGAGAAGAGGAATTGATTGAAGAAATAAAAACAAAAGTTGAATCAATAGGGAGATGAGGAAAGTACTGATGAACCTAATAATTAAGTTAATAATTGAAATAAATGTCTTAGAATAAATAAATATCTTAGAATTGAGATCTGAATCTTTTTAGATTTGCATAGAAGTTGGTATACTTTTGAGCTTTCTGACAAACTGGATTCTTTTTAAAGATAGAAATCATTGTGCCAGAAAGTTGCGATTAAGTGAGCACAGAGTACAAGCTAAACTTTACCTTATCTTCAGCTTTATTTATCTTTATTGTCTTGTTGTTTCGTTCTTTACTTTTCTTTACTCAAATTGTGATCCTTTTCTAGTTTTCGAGATTCTACCGGTATTTTTATTGACGTTGTTGTGAAATAAAAATAAAAATTGTGCCATTTAAAGAATAAAATTTATTTTCTGATCTAAACGGAAACAAATTTGAAGGATTAGTCCGAGAACTCATCAAGCATTCCACAGTAATCGTGGAGAACACTGGAATTTCGCAATAAACCTCTCAATAAACCTCTTGACTTGTTTGACTAACATTAGAATAAGATCTTTTGAGTTATTTCAAGCTGCTGACTCAGTGGATGCAATTCTCATCTCCTTTTCTCACCTAATTCCCGCTTTCTCAGCACACGAGCACACATCACCGAGCTCTTTAGCCCAATCGATTTTCGATCCACAAACATCAATCGTTTTGTTGACGGCTTTGTCCGTGATATCGAGAGTGCATCTAAATGAATGTAGAATAGAAATCAAAGTTGAGAAACTAACCCAATTTGTTCATGGCAAAATCCGTCTGAATTCTTTACATTCATGAAACAATTCTTGAAACACTGAAATAAGATTTCGTAGCGGTGGCTAGTTTCTATAATTTTTGATTTACAATAAAGCCAATGCGAAATCACATCAGTATCCTTTGATTTAATTGCTCGAAGGATTGTCTGTGCTCGATGATCAACATCTTCTTCCACTCTGAAAGTTTTCGTGTCCAGAACTTGTACTGATTGTGGGACATTGTACTAACTTTAGTCAAGGGTTATCGGACATTTGATACTCCTTATTGACAATCTAACTTTAATCTCAAATATCTTGGACTTGGGATGTTCAATTGAAATACTTTTGATACCAATCGACAGAAAGACTTTGCATCTAATGATATCAAGAAATATTTCAATTAAAAACCCCAACACCAAGAAATTTGAGCTCAAAGTTAGATTGTCAATAGGGGTATCAAATGTTGGATAACCCTTGGCTACTACTAAAGTACTTGACAAGTTCATTCCTAACTTTCCCATAGATTCTTATTCAAGTCTAATTCTTGCACAAAGAACTCACTTGGAAAGGAAAGTGTTCAAATCAATATTTGGTGCCTTCTCGGAATTCTTTTTCTCAGAACAGCTAAATTTTGAAAGTTTTGATTCATTTATCAAACTTACGCATCCAAATTTTCTTTCATACAAGGAATCACTTGATCTAGAAGTTTTTCTTTCTCTAAAAGGCAGCTTTTAAGGAGCTCGGGTTTCTCTAAAAGTTTCAGCTTCGCGAATTCGTTGTAACATGGAGTAAAACATTGATTGGCTTGTTTTCGAGCTTTGTCAATGCATTGATCCAATTCCTGTAAAAAAAGAAGAGTTAGTGCTTGTCTTGATGACGGTTTAGTACTCTTACCTTGCATGTGCAAACTCTTATTTTCTCACTCTTTGGCCGAGATTCGTGAAGTGCCTTGACAGCTTCGTCTTTTACCTAAATCATTGAAAATTTCAGACTTTAAAAGCTTCGTCTTTCACCATTTGACTGAAAATTTAAAGAAAAAGAAAAAATGAATGACAAACCAATGGACAAGATTGTTTTCCTTTACCTTAAGCACCATCAAAAACTCTTTGTTGTCGCGGGCACAGCTTGTATTCAAACAGTTCACATTCTTTACAAAAATTTAGAAGATTTTTATAGTAATGTTTACAGGAAAACATTCTTTGATATTCTTTGACATTCTTTGACATTTCTTTGTAAATCTAGCTTACCGTAAATACTGTAATAGTACCCCACCCTCCTAATAACGGTGCGGAGTGTTGCCTAGTCTAGCTTTGAACGCATTTTTCTCGACACTGTTTTATGCTACAATGCCACTTAGTTATCAAAAAAATAGCCCTGAATTTCAGCTATTTTTTGATACCAAAGACGCATTTTTGAATGTACGGGGCGCTTTGGAAAAAAGGAAATACTAAAAAACTTTTGGACTACGCGACTGTACGAGGAGGGTGGGGTACTATTACAGTATTTACGGTAGTTGGAAAGAAATGTACCTCTTCTTTAACCGTATCCTCAGCAGCTTCTTTGTTTAGAGCAAAAGCGAGCACGAAAAAGGCACCAAAATAAATCAGAAATTTCATTTTCAGCAGATTTTCAGATTTCTATCAACTCTTGTCCTTTTATACCCAAAAGTTTCAGTTCTTTTTTGTCAGCAATTTTTCCACGAAACCCAGATCAGACAAATAAACAAAACCTTCAAATTCTTTTAGAGAATCTCTTTTTTTACACGTATTTTCCTTGGAAATCATTTGTTTTTCGACCTTAAATGGCTGATTTGTTGTTGTTTTTCTTCACTGTTTTGTCTGCAAGTTTTTTTCGCTCATTTTACCATTGCCCTATACTTTGAGATCTAGTTTTGTTTATGATTTTGAAAGAAATCAACAAGATTTTTGAGATTTTGGGATAGTTAAATGAAAAAGATCTGAAATCTAAGATTTGAAAGAATTTCTATCAATTTTCCATTATCTAAGCTGTCATTTCGGGGTTGGGGCAAATGCGACCTTTTTTTTGCGCACCTGGACATTTGCACACCTTTTTTTTGCTGGAAAAGGCCTTAGGAAAGGTCGTAGAGCTTCAAAAATGTTCTCATATAACACGTTAACTGACGCTGACACGTCAAATTTGGGCTAAAAGGCAAAAACTACGCAACTTAACGCTTTTCCGCAGTTTTTGCCTTTTAGCCCAAATTTGACGTGTCAGCGTGGTTTAATTTGAATTCGAAATTCGGAATCTACGCATACGATTCCGTTATGTGAAAACATTTTTGAAGCTCTACGACCTTTCCTAAGGCCTTTTCCAACAAAAAAAAAGCTGCGCAAATGTCCAGGTGCGCAAAAAAAGGTCGCATTTGTCCCACCCCCGTCATTTCAGCCATAAAATCCTCTAAATTCTACTCGATTTCACCTTGAGCTCGTATTTTTGGTTTAGTTATCTCAAACCGGTTTTCCTTGCCGAGAAGTGAAAAGTTCAAAGGAGAAAATCTGAAAAAACGATCGGATTGTCGTTTTTTTTTCTGGAAATACGCGCTTTTAAAAAAAAAAGATTTCAACAAAAATTTGCACACTTGTGAATTGTGGAAAACAAGTAAAAAGATCAAGAGAGAAAAAAGGAAAAAAGAAATGTTCACTTTGGTGGAAACCACTGAAAACGTTTCCCCAATTTTCACCCAAATCATCATTTCCTTTTTGTTTTTGGGAAAGCTTTGTCTCAAGGAGGAGAATTATCATTTCTGTTGAGTCGAGAGCTTGTTTTCATTGATTTTCTTCTTTGAATGGTAGAGAACTTGACTTATTTTGCTAATTTAGGTAAATAAAGGTAAATCGTTTCAAAATAAACTTAATTTGTTTACTGCTTTTTCTTTTGTTACTTTTCTTTGTCTCCAAAAAGATTTCCGAAACTTTAGACCCTTCCAAATCCTCTCATTCTCATGGCTATAGTGAATAATTGCGTTTGTTTAAAAGCAGATCCTTTCAAATCCCATTCATACAATGTTTTTCTATTACCAGTTGCTAAAATCAATGCAAATTATTGTAGAGAATCAACTCAAACTGAGATGGGAGATTACCGACATGATAGGGAAAAGTATCGGCTATTTTGTGGATTTCTGCATATAAAGGTTGAGATTTGAGGACAGAATATTTAGCTTGAGCTTGAGCTTTAGCTTGAGCTTTAGCTTGAGCTTTAGCTTGAGCTTTAGCTGAGGCTTTAGCTTGAGCTTTAGCTTGAGCTTTAGCTTGAGCTTTAGCTTGAGCTTTAGCTTGAGCTTTAGCTTGAGCTTTAGCTTGAGCTTTAGCTTGAGCTTTAGCTTGAGCTTTAGCTTGAGCTTTAGCTTGAGCTTTAGCTTGAGCTTTAGCTTGAGCTTTGCTTGAGCTTTAGCTTGAGCTTTAGCTTGAGCTTTAGCTTGAGCTTTGAGCTTTAGCTTGAGCTTTAGCTTGAGCTTTAGCTTGAGCTTTAGCTTGAGCTTTAGCTTGAGCTTTAGCTTGAGCTTTAGCTTGAGCTTTAGCTTGAGCTTTCCAAAATTCTTAACCGCATTTCTAGACAGCCACGTGGATCATCTTGGGATTGGGCGTGATTTCGCTGATATGGCAACTCTTCCGAAGCAACTATCAACAAACGAAATTCGGTCATTTCACTTTTATGCATTCGATTGATGTAAGTTCGATGGAAAGTAGCAGAGTTGAGAGTTCACATCGAAAAGTTCAGTTCACCGAGGTGATCATGATGACTTTCGCATTGACAATGCTTTTGTGTGGATTGATCGCCGAACGACAATCATTTTTGGTCCCATATTTGGTTGTACAGGTTTGAAAGAAGATTCTCTACAAGATTCGAATTTTACTCAAATCCAAGGTCGTCAAAGTGATCGGCTATTTGATTTTCATTGTCACCTACGTTTTGGACAAGTTTTTCAACATTTTAGATGACAAAGAGAAGAGAGATTTGTGAGCATTTCCAGAGTTTTCCAAAATTTTCAATCTAATCTTTTAGATTCTCAAAGAAAAATGTCACAATGACCTCATCGGAAGAAATAGACGAAGAAGAGGTCGAAGAATGGATTCATCAGAATCCCGGTTTGCCAAAGAATTAGTTGATGAATTGACTTACAGTAGTTAGCCTTCAGATATACCCGTGTAAACACCGCTTCGATTTCCATTTAAGATTACAAATTTAGATCTAAAAGTAGTCCCAAAGTAAAGAAAAAACATGAAACAACAACAGAAAAAGAACCAATTTCGCTAAACTACTAATCACTTTGCTTGTCTCGCCTGAATACCTTTTTCTTCTCCAAGTTTGTTTTATATTGTCAATTTGTTTATTTCTACACTGTTAAATCAGTGCTAAATCAGTTGAATCATCGCTTTCATCCTGTTTCAAACAAATCTTGGTCGATTTTCCTCAAATCCACATTGCAATCACTTTGCTAGTCTCGTCTGAATACCTTTTTCTTCTCCAAGCTTATTATATATTGTCAATTTGTTTATTTCTACACTGTTAAATCAGATGAATTATCGCTTTCATCCTGTTTCAAACAAATCTTGATCCATTTTCCTCAAATCCTTTCGCTATTTAACCCCATTATTGAATTACTCCAAAGTAACCCGTTGCGTTGAAGTAAAAGTACAAATAACGGGTCAAAATTTTGGTTGGTTAACCGAAATTTGTACAAAATAGTGCAAAAGACCGAAAGTCTTGATTGAAACACATAAAGACATAAAGACAAGAACTTTTCGGTGGAAACAACTTGATTCACTTGAAAATCTCCAGGTTGGTTCTTCGGGACGGTTCTCGGCATTAATTGTCTCTTCCTCGTCATCGCCATCATCGCCGTTTATGTCGTGATCAAGTGGGCTTTCAATATAAATGACTATTGAGTCAATCACTCAGAATCTCATTCTCGAACTTTATTCAGATGTCGAAAATACTTCAACGATCTGCACTCTCATCTTCAACGACAATCATCTTCCGTCTATGCATCAAGCACAAATCCCTATGCAACATATCAATAAAGAAAGAATAAAGAATTCAATTTTTATATTAAAAGTACAAAAGGATATGGATGTGAAGGATATGGAAAACTATAAGGTTTGTTTAAAACATTCACGACGATTCAGCCCACCGGTGGCTCAAAACAAATCCAGCCCACAACGATTATTTTTCGTTTCAACTCATTTTTAGGGACGTTTGTTATTCATTTTGCAGAAAATTCTCGATAATTTTGTACTAGTTTTCAAGAGGAGATTCAGGGCTATCGAATCACTATCATATTGGGTTGATGAATTGAAAACTGCCGGCTATTGTCATATGTGACAGTTTGAGCACTTTCTTCAAAAGAAACCCATTTTGGTGTCAATAGAAAAGTTGTAGAGAATCAAAAATGAAGCTTATAGCCAAATTTTCAGAACGATTCAAAAACTGGTTTTCAAGAAATGCGAAATTTACGAATTTTCACAAAACTTTCATTTTAAGCGAAACTACTAAGTGTATCTTTTTTGGAAATTTGGCTATAAGCCTAATTTTTGATTCTCTGCAACTTCTCTATTGACACCAAAATGGGTTTCTTTGAAGAAAGTGCTCAAACTGGGACATCTCCAGTCCTCCATTTTTGAGTCTCACACTTGTCTCACACACAAACCAAAATCCTACTAC